TTTCCAGAGTGAGTGTAAAAAGAATGAGACACAATTTCCCTTGAGACCCAGGCTCAAAAAGATGAACGAAGAAGACAATTTGTTGTGTAGTACGCTCAATCCTAAACATTTCATATTTAACCTACTTAATCCTCACAACTACTTTGAGATACGATCTATTATTTTCTCCATTCCACACTTGAGAAAGAGAGTTAATTGACTTGCTGAAGTCCCAGAGCCGGTAACTAGAGGATAGAGATGTGGATCCAGGCAGCGAGACTCCAGAGCCTCTGATGCACGATGTTGCCAGAAAGCCGTGGTTCGACTCGCTTCCTCCAGTCACTAATAAACGCACCCCAAGTGAGTCAAGAGAAACTACTGTGAGAGACCGCTGCACAGAGGACGAAAGGGTGTAGGGCCGCCACACGCCGGGGTCACCAGGAAGCAGGGAAGCGGGCCCCTCTCGCGCCCCGACCCCAGGCTCCTCCTGCCGCCGCCTAGACACGGAGCGGGCCAGGCTGCGCTCACACGGCCCACGGTGACCCCCCGGGGACCCCGGGAATCGGGAAAGAGAGTGGACATGGGGAACCTGTCTTCCAGCTCACCCGCCACCCACCGCCGGCCTGAGTTGCCTAAGCGAAGACAGAGAAGATGTGGCGACCCCAAGCCGTCTCTTCAACTCACCCCGCCCGGCCGGGCCGCAGCAGTACAACCAGGAGTGATTGCGCCTGCGCGGCCACTGCGAGCCAGCAGAGGCGGAGCCTGGCGTCCGGGTTGCAGCGCCCGAGGAGGGGGGCAGTTCGAAAGGACTAGCGAGGTGGAGGGGCGGGCCGGCTCCGGTGGCGCCTGCGTTCAGTACCTCCGCAGAGCTGCTTGGACAGGAGACGGGCTGGGAGGGAGTAACGCAGGACTTTCCCACCCGAGTCCCGTATTTGCTGGTCGCCTTTTGGGACAGTCCCTGACTTCCCTCTATYACCCTTCTTTGAACTGTAAAGCTGGCATTCATCATATATCATTTTACGATTTTTTTTTTTTTTTAAATGACTGTACTGGAACCTGTGTTCTTCCTTTCTGGCTAGACCGTATGTTTCTTGACCTACACCTATACTTTTCTTCAAAGCTGGATTATCTATTAAAGTGGTCCTCATCTTGCATGTTTAATAAAGTAGTTGGTTTGATAATGTTTAATAGATATTGCAAAAGTTAACACTGGTTGATAGGCTATAGAAATCGCCTTTCACAAGGACAGGTGGGGACTAATGGATAATTTGGGGTTAGAATTTTTTTTTTTTTTTTTACACAATACCTTTATTTTATTTATTTATTTTTATGTGGTGCCGGGGATCAGTGGTATAGCACATGCTAAGCGATCTGACACTGAGCCACAACCCCAGCCCTTGAGGTTAGAAATTTTAAAATACCACAGAGTTAGGCCACAAAAGTATGATTTTACTTTAAAACTCTATTTTTTCTCATTTCCATGTGAAAACTTGGCAAAAGAGGTTGCTGTTTTCCAAATAAGAAAGAGGTTGTGTTGTGGTGTAATTTTGAAGCAAAACTGTCTACTTCATAAATCAATATTTTCATTTTTTGAAATTGGGTTCGACCTAGAACATAGAAAAAAACACATGCAAATTTGAGCAAATCTAAATAATCTGCATCCTAAATTTCATTGCAATTTTTTTTCTGTATCAATTGGAGCCAATTTATAGTAAAAAAGGAATAGAATTAGAATATGAAAATTTAGGTTCTCTTCCTAAGAAAAAGAAATTTAGRAATCATGTAAACCATCATATAATTCTTAAATTTTTCTTGAAATAAAATTTGGAAGCTCTCTTGATTTTCAGATGTACCATTAGCATGACCTTCAGAGACTGCAACCTCCATGCAACTTGGCAAGATTTAAAAATTATCTGCATTAGTTTTTATTTCTGATGTTCTTTAAATTATATATCTTTTCATTTAATTGAAGTAAAATTCACTACTTTGTGGATTCCTCAAAGAAATCATTTGTAAATGTTACAYTTGTAAATAGTACTAAAAATACACCTTTGTAAAGGTGTATTTTTAGTACTATTACAATGACATGTCAAAAGGTCAAATAAAAATACTAGTCACTTAATATCAGCAGTATATTATTATTATTTTGTATTTTTTCAGTACTGAGGATAGAACACAGGGGTGCTCTGTCACTGATCTGTGTCCCCAGCACTTTTATTTTGAGACAGGGTCCCACTGAGTTCCCCAGGCTGGCCTCAACCTTGAAATCCTGCCTCAGTCTTCTGAGTATCTGGGATTACATGTCATGTGTAGTTTTTGAATAATGCTAAACATCTTAGTTTTACCATTCTTGTTCTGTCTGTAAATGTGTGAAATTGTTGAGAGCCACAGCCCAAGGGGCCCCAGCAAACTTCCAGCTGCCAGCTGATGATTGGCTCACAGCTGCYGAGCAACTTCTAGCTGCCAACTGATTGGCTCCTCTTCGGTGATGCTCATTGGGCTGTTTCCCTGCCCTTTCAGACCATGGAGCTGCTCATTGGGGGACTTTTTTTGGCTCTGCCCACAGGACCCAGCCAATGGACCTCAAGAGCAGGAGGAGTGGGGGAGGTTGAGAGGSTTGTGGGAAGCCGGTGGTGGCAGTTGGGCTCTGAAGGTTTTTCCTGAGGAGCTGTTTTGTTTGGCATGTGTGGTTCTAAAAATAAAGTTCATTTCTTTTGACAAGTGGCTCCTGAATTGTGCCTAGCCAGACTGTGGAATGAAATACTTTCTAAATTAGAGGCCATCTCTCTCTCTCTCTCTCTCTCTCTCTCTCTCTCTCTCTCTCTCCTCAAGGGAGATGGAACCCAGGGGCACCCTACTGAACTATATCCCCTGTCCTTTTAATTTTTTCTTTTGAGACAGGGTCCTTCTAAGTTGCCCAGGCTGGCCTTGGACTTGCAATCTTCCTGCCTCAGTGTCCCAAATTGCTGGGATTATAGGTATGTACCACCACACCCCGMACGTTCTTTATTGCAAAAATAATACATGCTATTTTAACTAAGTATAAAGTTATGCATCTTTTCCTTCCTATACTCCCATTTCCTCTCTTAAGAGGTAATATATTTCCTTTCTTCTGTACTATGTTCTGTATAGTTTCAAAAGCTTTCTTTGTGTTTACAATATATATTTGTACCATATTTTTCTATGGCAACCTTTTGTGAAAAGAGAATATACATCCAGATTACAGTCTACATCTGTTCTACAACTTGATTTTTTTTTCACTTGACAGTAKGCATTGGACAGAATTCTACATTARCCTCATTCTTTTGACTAGTTGCTTAGGACTCTAGTGCATGGGTGTATCATTTTATTTGAATCAGTCCCTTGCTTGTGTACATGTATCTTTGCCTACTTGTGGAAATGTTTTCACTAGATAAGCTATTAGTAGTGGAAATGCTGAGTCAATACATGTTCACTTTAAGTTTTGGTAAATATTCTTTTGAAAAAGTCACATGAAAGGCTATACGTCTTCTAATTCTTAATTGTTATAAGGGGCTTGAGTAAATTTAGGGAAAAAATAGGAAAAAACACAAATCTCTTAAAAATCCCTTCCATTTCAATAGCCTTTCACTTGCACACATTAAGACAAAAAATGAGTTTGAGAATTAATGATTCATAACAATTCAGCATTAGAGAACTTAAAACTACTTCTCTCCCTTTAATCCCACTTTAAACCTGAAAGAATAACTGAGACTTGTAGGGGAGGAAGATTATCAAAATTCTCTCTTGAYAAGGTCTTTTTGCTCTAAGGACTYTTAAATAAGCCAGGTTTGGACTGTGGTACATATAGGGCATATTAATCTTTCAGAAAAAAATTATATAGAAAAATATTTATCAATTATTTATGGACCCTGAAAAAGAATTGTTTAGTAGTATTTCTCTTGCAAAAGCATAAATCAGATTAAATTGACTCATTGAGGCCAAGTACACTGTTTCCATATTGTGTTCACACTATCCGTGGTTTGTGAGAAATAGTCACATTAGGGATGCTMCAAATACATGCATCCACAGTGTATGAGGACATCTTAGTTCAAAGTTAGTTCAAAAAATAAATTCCACAGACTATGGTTTTGGAAAAACATAATTGTGAATGAAATTATGAATATAAAAATGTGGTTTATTAATTATTGAATTATTGAAAACTGAATAAAAGGGCATGCTTAATGAAATAATTCCTTGGACATACATTTTAATGTTACTTAGAATTAATATCTTGTCTTTAAATTATGAATCAATTTTCAGATAAATATAGCTTTTTATTATGCTTGGGAACTAAATTGAGAATAAACTTAAGGTAATGAGAAACTTTTGTAATAGGTTGAATAATGTCCCCACCTACYCYAAAGATGTCCATGTTCTAATCCCTGGAAACTGTGACAGTGTAAAAGAGAATTTACAGACGTTATTAAAGTATCTTGTAAGAGGGAGATTATCTTACATTATGTCATTGTCAGAATGTAAAGGTCCTTCTAAGAGAGAGAYATGAAGGTCAGAGGAAGAAGAGATTTGACAACAGAAGCAGGGATCAGAGAGAGATTTAAAGGTCCTATGATGCTGGCTTTGAAGATGGTGAAGGATCATGAACAAAGGAATGAGGCATCCACTAGAAGACAGAAAAGGCAGGAAGTTCTTCCCTAGAGTCTTCCAAAGGAATGCAGGCTTGTGGGCACAYTGATTTTATCGTAAGTGTGACTACTGATCTCCAGAACTGTACATAATAAATTTGTGTTTATAACCAGTAAATTTGTAGTAATTTGTCATTGTAGCAACGTGAACTGTTATACTTTACAAAGTTGAACCTAACCCTGACAAAGCTATGATCATATATAGTCAGATATAACCAATACTTGGGGGGGGGGAGGATAACACTATGAGATCATTTTAATACTGACCTTAGCTAAACCAGGTATTTAAGTTAAGAAAAATTAGGAAAAAAATCATGTAGTCTGCTTTAAATTAATCCAATGTATGAAAAATCATGTTATAAGTTGCAGTTTATTTACTTTAAATCTTCATATTTAAGCTTTGTCATATTTTTCTACTTTCCACTTTTAAACTATTTTTCATTAAAAAAAGAAAAGAAAAGCAAAAACAAAAAAGAAAGCATAAAACTTAGTTTCTTTTCAAATGATTGAAAGCGGCACGGTTAGGTCAGCAATTACGACTTCCGGCACTACTGCGTTCTGCCGTCCGGCACTACTGCGTTCTGCCGGCCGTTGGCTGGAGGGCGCTCGAGAGCCGGGAGCGGCGCGCCTGGGGCGGGAGGGGGCGACGAAAGGAGGAGGAAGTGGTCAGCAGCGCGGCGGGCGCCAGCGGGCGAGGATGCTGCCCTGGCTGCTGTTCCGGACTGCGCGCAGGGCTGTCCTCGGGTCCGTGGAGACTGAGCTCTGCGGTGAGCTTGACCCCTGGAAAAAGGGAGAACTCCTAATTTCGGATGTCAGGGAAGGATGGCATTAACGAGGGTACTCGATTCTTTAGATTTTTGCCATTATTACTCTTTGGCAAATCTGGGTACCCACTAGCACTTCTTGTGCCTTCAGATCCAAGCCTATGCGGGCCTGGAACTGCTCAGGGAACTCAGGGAGACTGGTAAACACGGCACCAGGATGCTAGTCGGGAGGGCATTTATAATGGTAGAGTTACTTGTTTGATCAATGAAGGTTAATTCGCGACCCAAAGGAGCCAGCAAGATGGCCAGTCCCAGCCTTGCAAGTTACAGGTTGTGACCTACTAGAGAGGAGCGCTCATTGCTGGATGAAACAGCCACCCAGGATTATGACGTATTAAACCATAAAAATACCTCCCTGGTCGTAGATACAGAAGCAGAAGACATTGAAGRTGGTTAGTGGAGAGGTTGGGTCCAGAACTCGGAGCAGGACTTGAGTCCATTTTTTTCGTTTTTGCTTTACATACTGCCTCTCCATCAGCATCCATTCTTTTATCTGGGGATACAGCTGCAGGGGCCCAACGTAACACTGCCCTCCCACTCCTTCTTAACATTCTCTGGAGTTTAAGATGGACTTTTCTAAGCAAGTTGTTGTTTCCTTTTACCTTTATTCAGCAATCATTTATTGAGCCCCTAATCTCCCAGGCCTTCTGCTGGGGACACAGCCTCTGCAGCTCAGGAGTTCACCATTTCTGAGAGAAACAGACATAAGTAAACAATCATCATATACCGCCCACCCTAGTTAAACTGCTATGGAAAGAACAAATCTACCCATGTTGGAGAAAATATTAAAGAGTCTTTTTCATTTAAAAAAATGCTAATATTATATGATTATATTCTCATTTACACAAACCAAAAAAAGTACAGTGTAAGTCCCTCTTTATACATCCCTCTTTATACACCCCCCTATCCTAATCGCTGCCTCAGATCCTTCTAAACACTTTTTTTTTTTGGTGGTGCTGGGATTGAACCCAGGGACTTGTGCATGCAAGGCAAGCACTCTACTGAGCTATAGCCCCAGACGCCTTCTAAACATTTTTTGATGAATAGACGTAAAGGTACATATGAAATTATGTAATAGTATGGATATACTTAGTTTACTTAACCATTTATTGATGAATATTGTGATTTCCAGTGCTTTGCTATCATATAAATAATTCTTCAGTAATTATCATTGTGTCTGCCACTTTGTGTATATGAACAAGTGCTTTACTAGAATAGATACTTAGAAGTAGAATTGTGAGGTAATGAACAACATTTAATTGGGTCTTAAGAGAGAGGAAGAGTGTCCCATGTAGAAATGAGGGAAAAAAATAAACCCTTAAGAAATAACAGTGTGTGTAAATCCTGAAGGAAAAGCAAAAATAAGCATTTATTTTGTTTGTCCTGTGTGTATTATCTTTTTGTCACTATGACCAATATACTTGACAAGAACAACTTAGAGTAGGAAAAGTTTATTTTGGCTTCTGRTTTCAGAGGTCTCAGTCCATGGTCTGCTGGCTTCCTTGCTCTAGGCCCGATGTTAGGCAGAACATAATGGCAGAAGGGCTTGGTGGAGGAAAACTGTTCAGCTCTTCTTTCCTAGAAGCAGAGAAAGAGCCAGAGAGGAGCCAGAGACAAACTACAATCCCTAAGGGGACTCTTCCAGTGACCTACTTTCTCCAGTCACACCCTATCTGCTTACATTTATCACCCAGTAGCCTATTTAAGTTATGAATCCATTATATGGATTAATCCACTAATCAGTTTACAGCTCATAATCTGTTCATTTCATAATCTTATCTATTTCATTTCACGTACGAACATTCCTGCATTGCCACAAGAGCTTTTGGGGGGAGACATCTCATATGGAAACTATAACACATCCTGGATATACATTCACCTCATTTAAATCTCACAACAACTTGTTGAAGGGCATCATAGACTATATTAAGGAGCATAGTCTGCATACTGTAATGTACACTATAAGGAGTATCCAGGTGAAATTAGATTGTACCGGTGTGAAAACAGCAAAATTATAAATTATTCAAAGTTTAGGCTAAAAAAGCAAACATCAGATATAGTCAGTATCACTTTTTTTTTTTTTTTGGTGGTGGGGTAGGGGAACAAACCCAGGGACTTGAGCATGCTAAGTACATACTCTACCTGGTCTCTTTAGTATTACTCTTAAAAATCCCTCAAGAACCACATATCACTTCTTGGCAAATCCCAAACTGCCAGTGTTTCTTCAGTGTAGGAAGAGATTAGTGTCTCTTGGTTGAGTAATAGGTCAAGTGGTTGATTTACAAGTATAGGATATGTTGTACAAAACAAAACCCCCAAAATATTGGTTCACTGATTTAAGTGACTACAGTTGAGTAGAGGCTTATACCATGAGAGGCTTGGGGGAGCTGAGACTCATGATGGGAACATGCTTTCGTTAGGCTTTTGCTCACTGAGTGGAATTGGCAGGAAATCCAGTCTCCAATGATTATTTCCTCCTTCCACTGCCTTCCCACAGGTATAAAGCTGAATTATAGAAAATTAAATGTCAGTTTAATGACTCTACAAGAAAAACATAACTGATCTCATTCACAAGTTATTTCATGTGATTGTTTCCAAATAGCTAAATACCAAAATTGAGTTAAACATAATTTATAAAAGTAGCATAGTTTTCAGGATGAATCTAACTAATGTGTATAACTATAAAGCTCTTCTAAACAAAATAGCATAGTTTTCTACTTCCTAACAATAAACAGTAGAAAAAGTATAAATTCAGCCTGCCAACTCACAAAACAGATAGTTGAATGAGAAATAATTTGATTCCAGGTGTTTTTAGATCTAATCTTGCAGACAAAAATGAACCAAATTTTAAAAATGTAAAGATAGGAAACATGTATTTTTAAAACTTATTTAATGTGTTAAAATACATATAAAATATGCCATTTTAACTTTTTTTTGTACCAAGGATTTAACTCAGGGACACCCACTGAGCACATCCTTACCCCTTTTTATTTTTTWTGTTTTTTAGACACGGTCTCATTAAATTGCCTAGGRCCTTGCTAAGTTGGTGAGGCTGGCTTTGAATTTGTGATGCTCCTTCCTCAGCCTCCGGAGCTGCTGAGAAAACAGGGATGTACCATTGGGCCTGGCTTAACCACTTTTGAGTGTACAATTTGGTAGTATTAATTACATCCACAATATTGTACCACATCACCACTTTCTATTTTTCTTATTTGTGGTGTTGGGGATGGAGCCCAGGACCTAGTTCATGCTAGGCAAGTGCTCTGCCCCTGAGCTCAGCCCTGCCCCACCATCACCATTTTCTATTTCCAGAATTTTATCATGGCAAACAGAAATTTTGTTCTAGGAAGCAATAACATCCTTATCCTTCCCCCTCCAACTCCTGGTAGCCTTCAACTAGTGTCTTTGAATTTGTCTATGAATATATTTTCATATAAATGAAAAAATATATTTGTCCTTTTGTGTCTGGACTGTTTCACTGGGTAACTTCATTCCTTCTTAATGGCTGAATAATATCCCATTATATGTATATGACATATTTTATTTGCCCATTTGTTCATGAACACTCAGGTTGTTTCCATCTTTGGCTATTGTGCATAATGCTATGAGCATTCATGTTCAAGTAATTGAGTCTCTGTCTTCGATTCTTTTTAGTATATAGTTAGGAGTGGAATTAATAGAAACCTGTGAATTTTGTTTATTTGGTTTTTCGATAATGGGGATTGAACCCAGAGTCTCACGCATGCTAGGCAAGCACTGGGTACTGAGCTATGTCCCCAGTCTTTTATTTTGAGACAGGTTCTTGCTAATTGCCCAGGCTGGCCTCATATTTACAATCCTCCTAGCTCAGGATCCCAAGTAGCTGGGATTATAGGCATGCACCATCTCACCTGGCCTGAAAAAACCTGTATTTTAAAACAATTATAGATATCTGTCCTTTTTTCCATCACTTTGCCATCAAGAATGTCAAAGAAAATGGAGACGTGTCTGGTATTTACAGACAGCTTTTTGGCAACTTACTTTTGGCTTTTCTTAACTACTGTACTTAATAAATACAACTGTTAAGCATCCTTTTGGCTTCTGAAAAAAAAAAAATCCCAAGACATTTAGGGCATTGTGAACTAAGAAAGTTTGGGAACCTGAAGTTTACCCACAGTTTTCCAACTAGTTTTTTCCATTTAATTCTATATTTTGGGCAATTTACATTAATATACCATTGTAGAATGTACCACTTGTAATATAACAATTTCCTTATAGATGGATGTCTAACTTATTTCTACTTTTTCAACATTATATAGAGTTCTGCCAATGAACATATTTAAACATATCTCCATTTGTGTTTATTCATACTAATATTAAGATCAATTCCTAAAAGTAAGATCATGAGGCAAAAAAGATGCAAACTTTAAATATTACTGCTAAATTTCCCTTCAAAAGTTTGTTAACATTATATACTCCTAATAACGTCTGAGAGTACTCAGTTCCTCACACCCTCACCAGTACTGCATATTATCAGTCCTCTTACTTTTTTATGAGCCTGATACAATTACAAAGTTTTGTGTAACTCTCGTATTTCCTTGGTTAGTAGTGCAGTTAGACAACTTTTCTCATTTCATTGGCCATTTGTATTTCTCATGTCAATTCCCTGTTCACTTTATTTTCACCATTTTTCTATTGATTTTTGTCCTTTTCTTAGGTATTTTTGTGTGAGCTCATTAATTTGTCCTTTTTTWAAAAAATCTTTTCTGGGGTTTTGTGTTTGTTTTGATATTGGGGAATGACCCAGGGGTCCTTTACCACTAACCTACATCTTCAGTCCTTTTTAATTTTCTTTTGAGACAGGGTCCCACTAAGTTGCTTAGGGCCTCACTGAGTTGCTGAGATTTTAGGTGTGGGTCACCATGTCTAGCATTTTTTATCTTTGCTATGTACAAATTGTTAAGGTCTGTAAATAAGTCAAAAATAACACCTGGTATTTTGCCAGAGAAATGTTAGAGTTCGTAAACAAGTCTGGATGGTGCCTGGCAAAATGTCAGAGGGAGTGGTTTGAGAAGTAACAAAAGTGAGCCATTAAGTGTGGAGATTCCTTATTGGTTGATTGATGTATCTAGTTTATGCTAATTAAGATAAGCTGTGCAAAATGTATAAATAGCTCTGTTGCCCTACAATAAACGGCTCCTATTCCTGCTGTATCAACGTACACGGGTTATTCGTCACCCCCCCGGCTATTCTGCTGCAGCCGGACTGCGGCAACAAATATTTTCTTCCTGCCTGCCTCTTGTTTCAAATTCTCTGTACTTTCCCATATGTAAATTTAGCATTTTTGTTAGAACAAATCTTTATGATTTCTGATCTTTGTGTCATGTTTAGAATGGCCTTCCTGTCCCAATATTTAAATTATTCATAGATGCCAGCATAGTGGCACACACTTGTAATCCCATCCACCCAGAAGGCTGAGGCAGGAGGATTGTAAATTCGAGGCAATCTAATAATTTCCTGYTTTAAAATAAAAAATGAAAAGTACTGGGGATGTATCTCAATGGTAAAACACCCCTGGGTTCAATCCCCCCAATAAATTATTCATTCTTGTCTTCAATTAGTATTTCTAAGATATTAGCTTATAGATACAAAAGGAATGAGATAATAGGTTGCTTAAAGTTTTCTCCTAGTTAGTTGTCCTACATATTTATTAAATAAAATATCATTTCCCTGYTAATTCGAAATATCACTGTTCACAAATACAGAATTCTCAGTAAGTTATATTGTGGGTCTCTTTCTGGACTTAGAACTTCACACCTTTTTCCTACAACAGGTCTATAATATTTAAATCAATTTCACTTTATATTTAACACTTAAAATTTGAATCATTATTTCTTCTACCCCTGAAGCATTATTTACTTTTCTTATAAATAGTCAGTTTTTGTGAAATACAAATATTAACAATGTCTTGGTTATTTTATTTTTAAAATATTTTTAAACCTATACAAAAGGTTGTAGACAGACACAATACCTTTATTTTATTTATTTGTTTATATTTGGTGCTGAGGATYAAACACAGTGCCTCAACAAATGCAAGGCAAGTGCTCTACCAACTGAGCTACAAGCCGAGCCCTAAAAGACCCATACAAAAGTTGGAAAAGTAAAACAGTTCCCTTTATTCTTACCCAACTTCTCCTAATGTAATCATCTAATAGTATAGTTACTAAAATCAGGAAATTAATATTTACAAAAATACTAATTCACAGACCTTATTTGAATTTCATCAATTTCCCGTTTATATTCCTTTTTTTTTTTTTTTAAGTACTAGATTTGAACCTAGGAGTGCTTTACCACTAAGCTATGGTGCCTAGCCCTTCTTCTTTTGAGACAGGTTCTCACTAAGTCACTGAGGGCCTCACTAAATTGCTGAGGCTGGGCTCAAATTTGGCAATCCTCCTGCTTCRGCTTCTCATGTTGYTGGGATTACAGGCATGTGCCACTGCACCTAGTCATTTTTATAGTCCCAGTCCAATTCAGGATTTACATTACATTGTAATGTTTTCTTAGCCTCCTCCCATCTGTGATGGTTCCACAGTCTTTGTCAGGATAGTGACACTTTTTAGGAGTACTAGTTATTTTGTAAACCAAGTTTGTTCTGATTAGACTCCAGGCATGCATTTTTGGCAAGAATACTAAGCAAATGATGCTGTGCTTTTTTCAGTGCATCATGTGAGTTCCAGGAAGTGCCTGTTATCAACAAGGCTTATTACTAATGAACTTTGTCTTTGAATAACTGATGACAGCGGGATCTTTCAACTCTTCCCTTTATAACTAGCATATATCTTATGGGGAGATATTATTCTATTTCTCATCATACTTTCACCCACTAAGTCTTGTATTCATCAGTGGTTTTTACCTGCAACAAACATTACTGGAGCATCTGTAGTGATTTTCTATTTCCATTATTCATTCTACTTTTGTCAGTTGGAATTCTAATATATGATCATTCCTTCTCCTGATTTATTTAAATATACTTATTAATATCAATGTGGACTACCACATGATATGAGTTACTGTTCAATACCATTATATTACTATTTACTTAGCAGTAGCAGTACCATCAGGTATCTACAAGTGTAGTTTAAAATGTACAGTCCTTAGGGGTTGGGTTTGTGGCTCTGTGGTAGAGCACTTACCTAGCATGTGTGAGGCACTGGGTTCGATTCTTAGCACCACATATAAATAAATAAAAGATCCATTGACAACTAAACAATATTTTTTTWAAAAATGTACTGTCCTTACATCTAATATATGGCTTACTATATTTGCTTACAAAGGGAAATGAGATTAAAATTCTCTTAATATTGTAACTTGGATTAGAATAAGATTTTCAAGTTACTTCCATAATTCAGTTACCAAAAGCTGCAGGTGTATTTATAAGCTCCTGCCAATTGAAGGGCTTGGAGAGAGAATACGGAGAGAAAATGCTAGCATCAAGCATTCAGGGAAAAGGAGAGCTGCATCCTGCCGCTCAGAGATAGGATGAAAGCATTAAGTGTAAAAAATATTTTTCTATATTCTGCTCACAACACTTTTACCACCAAACATGGATTTTTCTACACCAAGCAATTCTTCAACTCCCTGTGGAGCAACTGGGTATCTTACAACTTAATTCTGAACTAACTACCCAAAGATACTGAAAACACAATAGATTAAGGGCTCAGTCCCATAACACTGCTCTCACTTCAGACGAAGTGGCAATTAAAGGCCTCCCACAGTTGTGACAACTGGCTGTAAATGAAGGATTCCCACTACCCCTTCTCAGATTGAGTAATTTGCTTGAATGGATCAGCAAACTCAGGGAAACACATTTATCTGTTTATTTTAGATATTATAATAAAAGGTACAGGTGGATAGCCAGATAAAGAGGTACTTAGTATGATCAGTAGCTCTATGCATAGAACCAGAGTGAAAGACCAAATATTAGAACAAAAGATGCTTCTAGCACTATCATTCAGGAAATTATACGGGTTTTAGGAAGCAGGAGCAGAAAGCAAATAATGTATTTATTACATTACAATCCAAAATGAATAGTTTTTTTTTTTTAAAGAAAAAACACCAACTATAGTTAGATGACTGACAGTAGAGAGGAAACACTTAAGCTACTCTTTCTGGCTGTTAATAGTTAATTTTTKTTGTTGTTGTTGTATTGGGGATTGAACTCAGGGGTACTCCACCAGTGAGCCACATCTCCAGCCCTATTTAGTATTTTATTTAGAGTCAGGGTCTCACTGAGTTGCTCACACCTCACTTTTGCTGAGGCTGGCTTTGAATTCATGATCTTCCTGCCTCAGCCTCCCTAGCSGCTGGGATTATGGGAATGCACCACTGTGCTTAGCATGATGTTACTTTAAAATTGTCCAAATTATTTTATTTTTTTCCAGATTTGAAGTCAATAAAGGAAAACTGTCACAATTTTTGTACTGCTACTTCTAAGGCTGTCACTTATAAGGAACTCAAAAACCTGTTGAATTCCAAAAACATTATGCTAATTGATGTCAGAGAGACATGGGAAATTCTTGAATACGGAAAAATCCCAGGATCTGTCAATATACCATGTAAGTGACATGTGTCTTTAAGAAATATATTTTCTCAATAACTCTGTGTATCAAAAATTAATTGAAATTCTTCACATATTTTCCCCAGTGAATGAGGTAAGTGAAGCTCTACAGATGAACCCAAGAGACTTCAAAGAGAAGTACCATGAAGTAAAGCCATCCAAATCYGATAGTCTAGTGTTTTCTTGTTTAGCCGGAAGGAGAAGCAAAAAGGCTCTGGACACAGCAATATCTCTGGGCTTTCACAGGTGAGTAAAATGAAGGAAGAAATAGATTCAAGAATGTATATTGTGCCAGGTGTGGTGGCATGTCTCTAATCCCAGCGGCTCAGGAGGCTGAGGCAAGAGGATTATGAGTTCAAAGCCAGCCTCAGCAATGGCGAGGTGCTWAACAATTCAGTGAGATTCTGCCTCTAAATAAAAAACAAAACAGGGCTGGGGGTGTGGCTCAGCGGATGAGTGCCCCTGAGTTCAATCCCTGGTACACACACACACACACAAAAAAAAAAAAACCTCAACATACTGCAATGTTTCATACACATTTATTGAAACAGACACTTTGAGGAGTAGATCAATGTTCTAGATAAGTGCCTAGCATGCATAGGCCCTGCATTTGATCCCCTAGCATCAAACAAATTATTTTTCCTTATAATTACTGTCAGTAAGTGCAGGATAGCAAGACAAAGAGCCTCTCTCTTTTCATCTTACTCAAAAGCAACACAATTTTTAAAAATAGTCTGGAGAGTCTAATATTAGTTTCATTACATTTCTGAAATTTCTATCAAACCCTGTTATAAAACAGGAGAGAATGTTCACWCTTTACTGTCTTTTCAGGGCTCAACACTATGCTGGAGGATGGAAGGAATGGGAAACCTATGAATTTTCAGAAAACAAAAAAGGAAATTGAGTTTTGTAATACAAATTGGCTGTTTCCTTGTGCACCTGCAACCTGGAGTACTTCAATGAGCAAAAGAAAAATATATTTCTGGAAGCAGTTGGTTAATTCTAAGGGGTATTATATTTCAACAACTTGTGCAGTCTTTTTCTCATCTGTAAATTGAGAATACCACTCCCCCCATCCACTTTCAAGGGCTACTGAGGATTAAGAATAATGTATATGACTTGCCATGGAAATATGAGTTTGGATTCTAGAAGTTAATTTTTACTAATTCAGGATAGTTCAATATTATTCTAAAAGACCAAGTTACCTGTATTAGATATTACATACCTGTATTGCATGTGACTATTAATGTTAGTATAAGTTTTTTTCATCAGAGAAGCTTTAAACTAAAATACTAGATTAAGAGGCAGACTTGACCTTAACAAAAATAAATAAATAAATAAAAAGAATCTGGGGTCAATTTGGGTATGGTGGTACATGGTCTATAATCCCAGCTACTGGGGATGCTGAGGCAGGTAGATGCCAAATTCAAGGCCAGCGTAGGCTGTTTAGCTAGACCTTACTTTAAAATAAAATTTAAAAAAAAAAAAAAAGGCTGTGGACATAGCTTAGTGGTAGGGTAACTTATCTGGAATGTGAGAGGCCCTCGATTTGGTCCCTAGAACCACACAAAAGGYGGGGAGAAAAAACAAATCTAGAGAAGCAGGTAAAATTTGAAWAATGAAAATATCAGTAACACCCAGCAACTCATAGTAGTGTTTTAATTTGCCATTTAAAAATTAATGATTAACATGGGGATAAAAATCAAAACAGTGATTACTTCTGTGGAGGGTAGATTTAACTAGAAAAGGCAAGGAATGAACTTCCAAAGGTGATGGAAATGTTCTGTACCTCCACTGAGGTACTGTATACATAGGTATAAGTATACGTGTTTGACAAAACTCATTGAAGCAAGGACAAAAATGTGTTTTTCTATTAGTAATTATACTTAAAAAAATAATGAAAATATATAAAAATGTCTAAATATAAGTGACTCCCAACACCATGGRTGTATATCTTTGGAATATTAAGTCCTATACTTGTTACGTGCTAGTGCACTRATGGCAAATAAACCTGCTTTCTTATTTATGCCTCTTTTGACCCTGTTTTTACTCTCATCCATGTAGTCATTCAGAGCATGTAAGGCTTTAGGACTAACTATAAGGATTTGATCTGTCCTAAATGAGACAGAAAGATTTCAGAATCTGGAGATGTGATACCTTGAACTTTGACAATGTCTAGTTTCTTATAGACTAAACTCCCTACAAGAATCAGGAAAGTTGGAAAAGGCACATATGCATGTGCACGTGCACACACACACACACACAAATATATATGGTCAGTTTAAAAGCGTTAATTTTGGAGGCAACAAGGATTTGAAGTTATGATCTCAGGGAGAAGGAAAGTTATTGAGAATGAACCAACACTGGACCCAACAAGGAACGGGAACCTGAGTAAATACACCATGCTTTTAGTTAGAACTATCAACTATAGGTGAGCCAGAAATTGACCAGCCGTCACAAAAGCTTAAGATAAACTTTGAATCCATTAAATCCTGAATGAATTAAGGTGATCTTCCTGATACCCTAAGGACCTATCAGAAGTAGAACTTGTCTGGAGAGAAATATTTTCTAGTGAGAGCAGGGGTTGGCAATAGTKTAGAATATTGTAGGCTCATTGTCATTAGGTTTGTACAGCAACTACTCAACTCTGCTATTGTATCACAACAAAAGCAGCCACAGATAACACATGAATATTTTAAGTGTAATTATATTCTATTAAAAACTTTGTATGGGCCCTTAGGTTTGAATTTTATGTTAAGTTTCATGCGTTGCTAATTATTATTATTATTTAGATAATTTTTCAAACATTTAAAAATAACACATTTTTAGCTCAAGGCCAGACAAAAACTAGTGCTTACAATTAAGTAGGAGCTCATGATTGAAGGAAAAAAAATATAAAGATAATACTTTCCACAGAAGATCTATCATATATTAGAATTTTCAGACAGACTTTAAAATACGATTAATATATTTAATAGCTTAGATAAAAGGAAAAATTTATCAGAGAATGGAGACAAGAAAGTATCAAATAAAATTCTAGAACTTAAAAATACAATAACTGAAATTAAACACCTAACAGATGGTAAATGGATTTAGCAGATCAGACACAGCTTATGACAAGATTAGTGAAAATGAAAAAAAAAATAGAGGTATAGGTATTAATATGGATGACTCTCACAATGTTGAGGAAAAAAACATTAAAGAAACACTGTGCAACATAATTTTAAAACATACAAAATAATATTACTTAGGTATATGGGCATATATAATATGAGTAAATTATGAAAATACCAAATTTAGGATATTTTTCATTGAAAGCAGAGGAAGGGGCACATAAGCACTAACAATATTGTTAACACTTTAATCCCAGCTACTTTGGAGGTGAGGCAGGAGGATCTCAAGTTCAAGGCCAACTTACCAAGACCCTGCCTTAAAATACAATTTTTTAAAAGTACTGAAGATGTAGCTCAGTGATAAAGCATTTGCTATCATGCAAGAGGTCCTGGAATTCAACCCAAAATACCAAAAATAGATAAATGAGTAAAACCATTATTGAGGTCTGTGGTATCAAAGGCCTCAAATGTAAAAATATAACATGATTTAATATATCACTCAACAAGTAACTGTTTTATTTCAACCATGGGAGTATATCACTCTTACTTTGATAATACAAGGATAGATTGAAAGTTTTAGAGAAAAGCTAGATTATATATTTAAGTGCCATTATGTACCCTACAGCACTCTTAGAATGGAAGAGAAGGGAGAAATCCTAGAAAAAGTGGCAAAAATTGACAGAATTCTGAGTCAGTGATTCAGGTTTCTTTTATTCACACTGCCTTTCTTACCTGTTTTTGATCTCAGCAGGGTCTCTTAGATTCTGTGGTAATGTATCTTTTTGCTATTTAGAATGTATATGACATGAGAATACTGCATGGAGGTATGATCAGCAGCTACTTTGTGAGGAATTTTACATTATCAAAGAAAATGAAAAACTTGAATGTTATTCTCACCATTTGGTAAAAAATACTGTTCAATATCTATAAGGRCTGCAAAAATAGTGTCATCACCACTTTTCAGTGCTATGGGTTTCTCCAGGAGCAACATAAGGAAGGAAAAAGGAGGAATGTTTAAAGGCATTATAATAGTAGAGTCTGATTCAAGTGTATCAGATAATAGGTGCTGAATATTTAAAACTCTTTTTATAATCATCATTATTATTTCTGTGAGAATCTGTACCATATGGTATCTGGTTATAGGTAGCTGATATTTTGGGTTGTTGTTGGCGTCCACTTAGCATTTATGGGTAGAGAACATAGGTGAAATTTTCAGCTAAATATTCTCTAAGGGGTTACACTGAATGGCAGTGTAACCCCTTAGAGAAAACAGGAAAGTAAACTAAAATTCTGAATATTGAACAATGAGATAACTAGCTTCTTGCTAGTTATCTTGTCTCCAAGATCTCAGACAATTCACCTTCTTCCACCTGAGATAGAAAGCTAGAAGATTCCTACCTGGAAAAACTGATCCRTCCCAAAGGAAAACCAGAAAATGATGGTGGAGTGAGAGGATGGCCCATGAAAATGTTTTGTTGATCCTTTACATTACAATGAAGCCCACCACTGAAAAGTCCTACCTGTGTACAGAGACCTTCCAATCATCTTCCTTTGTTCCCCTCTAATATAAAGGATCCTCAGACAAATAAGGCATTCTAACATGAAAGATTATAAACAAATCATATAGGAAAAAAGGAACTTCAGGTAAATGGTGTTAATACAGGAATCAAAGAAAATTTCAAAAGAACCAAAAACCCTAAATATCCTTATAATAACAAAAACACATTGAACTCTCAAACAAGAACAAGGTGYTACATAAAAGACTTAGATATCTAACCATACGAGAGAAAAAAAAAGGGAAGTCCCAATAAATCAGTTCTATGATTATAATGGTGCTACTTTCCCTACAATGTAATCAGTCCAGACTGGAGAATGAAGGGCTCAGGAAAAATATTTCCACATGAGTGATTTTGGGGAATAAAAGAATAGTAACAAATGGTTTTGGGATAAATTAACAGATAAAGTAAAGCAAACATATTATAACCGAGTTAATCAGTCACTAGTTCTAGAAAGACAAAATATTTTAAAAGAAATTTAATCAAAGTAATATAAATGACATTATCTAAGTATGCCTAATATATATTAAATATGAATTTACCAAAAATTGTATAATTACATGATAGGAGAAGTCCCAGTACAGGAACAGGTTTGAAAAGGGGAAGAACAAAGGGAGATGGATGAGAAAGCAAAATCTTCATCTTCTGTAGCAGGAAGTTAGTAGATAATAATATTTACAATTGAAAAAAAAAACTGAATTAAAAAAAAAGAGAGAAGGCTAAGCAGAGGAGGCCATACAGTATCTGGAGCTCAGACACCCAGGTTTTAAAAACAAGAACCTAAGCTCCAGCATTTACATCTTTAACCCTCCTGTTTCTGAATCTCCTCATTTCTAAAGTAAAACTGCTCTGAGAATTGACTTAATAAACAGAGAGAATACAATATACGTASCACACAGTAACTACAATAATGCAATATCAAATGCCTGTCACTTAGAAATATCAAAATAAATAGCAGGGAAGTTAAAGTGTGGAGAGTAGGAATGAAATGTGGGTGAAATGGGACAGGAAATTAACATTTTCCTTATATGGTAAAGAAACTGTCCAATGCAACTGTCCAAATCATTATGTGATATTATGAATATGTAATTTAAAATTTTTTATATTAAAAAATTAAAGAAACATTGAAATTAATTTTTAAAATGTTTTATTTAATCCTATGTATCCAAAATATTATCATTTAAAACGTAATCTTTATAAAACAAATTACTGAAATTTTACATTCTTCTGTTTTGTACTAAGTACTTGAAATATAACATGTATTTTTACATTTACAGCACATCTTGATTCAGATTAGCCACATTTCAAATGTTCAATAGCCATARGCACTAGTGGCTATCATACTGGACAGTGTATCCTATTTAATAACTGATTTTTTTTAAACCATACATATCTTCAGTGGTTGGTAAATTACAGGAAGAAACAAACAGCCATTACATGCCTCCTGATGGAAGACTACCATCTTATACAGTAGTCTATACCCCAAAAAAGAACCTGAATGTAATCAAGTCTTTAGATTCAATTACCAATTTATATAAAATACATAGGAGAAAACATGTTAAATGGCATGTAAAGGATTTAATCAACAAAATTCATGTCATGAGAAACTTTTAGTAGACAATTAAAACAAAAAAGGGGAATTTTTAAAGTGAGATGAAGAACCCATAAATTTAAAACAACTTAAAGAATTTGTCAATGAATTGCAATGTGTAGTCCTTATTTAAATCCTGACTATAATCAATTAATATTTTTGTGATATTTATGAGATAACTGAAAATTTGAACTGAGTATTTGATAACCATTTTTAATAATTCTATACAGCATGATACTGTACAGTTTTTTAAAAGAACCATTATCTCTTAGGAGTAGGTCCTAAAATATTTATAGATGAAATGAAATACAATATCTGGGATTTGCTTCAAAATAATATGCAAACTGAAGACAGCTTGAAGTTTAGATAAAATGAAATTGGCTATGAATTAATAATTGCTGAAGCTGTGTGATAGGTACATGGACATTCACTATATTGCTCTATCTGTTCTTGTATATTGTTTTAAGTTTTCCACAATAAGAGGCTGCAAACAAAACTGAGGCATATGTATTAATTTTAAAAGTAAACTTTTTAAGATAGGTAAGTTTAAAGGAAAACTTTACAATTAATTATTGTAATAAATAATCACTCTGCCCAGCCATCCCAAACCCAACATTAATTCCTTCAGACCTGAGGAGAGTTTGTTTTCTTATTTTTTACCCTACCATAAGCTTAGGAGATCCATACTGATCTTTGGTACTGATTTTATACATTGTCTCCCTTTCTGGCTCATCTAATACTCTCCYTAAGAAAATAGGACTTAAAGTCTGTTTATAAACCATTTGAAATCACCCCCTTGATAAAATATAGAAGACTTTAATACTTATCAAAGAAGGATTTTCAGAAAATAAAAGGCAAATTCAAAAAGATGAATTCAAGACACTGGTCAATATAGCTGAAGAATTTACTTTTATTCTTGCAGTCTTATACTAGGAAGGAAGTCAACATTTAATAATCCATTGTTCACAATTTATTTATAGAAAATTTTTTAATCCTTAAATTGTACATTAATATCCTATGACTCCAAGTTTTATCACTCTCCTTCAGGTCTGAAGAAAATGATTAATTTATTAAGTTCCACAGACAGCATAGTCCACTGACATAACATTTAATCTGATGGTCCTACACTCATGAAAATTAAGAATAGCCAGTTTCAAACTGGTCTGAAACCTGATTGTATTCCTGGCTCAGGATACCTGCAGTAAATCTGTAAATCCACATGAAGATACAAAATTAAASTAGGGCACGTATCTTATAAAAAAATTTTTTTCACAGATTAAAAATCAACATTAAAAATTTATCAAAATTTCAACCTCATTATGGTATTTTATCCAATTAAACTTTCAAAATGTCTCATTAATTGAATTAATTGCAAATAACTTCATGTATGATTCACTTTTTTAAAAAAGTTTGCCCAGCATTTCAAAATGGTTACGGAATTAATATAGCTTTTAAAATGTCAAAGTATCCTATACATATTGCACTTTTCTGCTAGGCCAGGCTATTATTTTCCATGGCAAGACACCCAAACTACTGAATAAAATACATTTTAAAATCAATAGGTACTTGATTAATTTCCCTGAAATTATCAACATCATTATCAAAATCTTCCAGGATTTTGTAAGATTTTATACAGTTTTTATACAGTTTTAAAGTTTAACTTCCAGAGAGGGGGGCGGGGAACCCTCATATATTGACTGTATGTCCTTTTTTGATCCCTCAATGACCACAGAATTTTAAACAAATTATGTTTCATGTTTTCTGGCTTAATAAAAAGCTACAATGTCTTTCATCCAAATTAAGAAATATACTAATCAAAAGCTATTAATCATGAAATGTCTATGTATGTCTGTCTGTAGGTCCCCATAGAACCTTTCCAAACTTTTATAATTAAGAGATTTTTATCAATTATGTACTAGAATCAAATTAGGTAAAGAAAAACTTATTTTGCAAAAATAAAATCAATTCCCAATATGCTTGACAGAAACAAGCTATTCATTTTCATTTGTATTCCACTGAAGACATTACTGAAATCTGTCCAATGGTTTATTTCCAAGTGGTCCACTACGGAATTCTTCGGAATGTTTTAAGATTGACTGTAGCTAGAGTTCTGACTTCCATTTGGACCCTGCTCTCCTTCACTGTTCAAATGGGGAAGAAAGAGATTTTATACTAATTAAAAGATTCATTTTCAACACCCTGATAAGCCTATTAATTTCTGAATCTGCAGCATAACTCTACAAAGACATTTCTGATTAAGACACAGATGTGGAAAAATTAAAATCCAGAAGACTAACATTTGGTTTTATGTTTTTATTCTTATGCACTTTGTACTCTCACACATTACAAGCAGTATGGAAGTTAGTGTTCATATACACTCAAAAAATTTAAATTAGGGTTATGGATATCATTGTTATTACAGGTATCACTCAACATAGAGATCACAACTTCTGAACAAAAGTCCTACAAAATTAAATCTTACATATAAAATCCTATTTCTACTATTTAGGAAAATAAAAAAATTTTTTTTTTTCTAAAAGTCTGCTGTTCAATGGCATAATAAAATCAGATGTAATTACAACAAACCTTGTAAGTCAGAAAAAATTAAGTAATTTCCTGGAAAATGCTACATATTTAAAAAGAACTAAAGCTGAAAATACCAGTAACTGTGGCAATAGGATTATTGCCTTATCTTGTCCACCATCATCTTGCAGCTTCAGGCCCTGCCACTAGTGGAGAATCACTCAGGGAATTTCTGCAAAAAATGCATCCAAAGGTAGCTGTTTGAATGACTGCCTTGAACAGCTCCTTGTTATAAGTACTATTTTTTTTTCCAGACTGTAACATTTCATCAGTAGCAATCTATAAATCTATCTTACTGTTATACAAATTATCTTTCTAAATAAATTATTAAGATGGGTAGCATTTATTTTCCTCCTCACCTTTCTTCCTACCTCAAATAATCTGGCCTGATATATTGTGAGGGCTGAACCAAAGAACTAAACAAACAGATCCTATTAAAAAAAAAAAAAAAAAAAGAAAAGAAAAGAAAAAAAAGAAAAACTCTTTAGCACAGGTGATTAATACTTAGAAAAGGTATGTTGTGTGCTGTGGTTCATAGGATCACTTAAAAACCAAAATTCTTATCTTTATCATATCAGATCATTTATCAAAATTTTAAAAAACTGCTACTGAAATTCATAAAATAGAATAATAGCCAGTAAGTGGAGAAGAGGAATGTTACTTAGTCARATTGACTGCAGAATTCCTTATCACTGAATTTCAAATGACTTTGTATAATACTGTTCTGTTTAAATTTATGTATAGTATGTGGCTATATGTTGAGGGATACCTGTAACAGACCTCCACTGCATTTGGAAAAGTTATTAAATAGATCAGATTAATGTATTTTTTAAAATGAGAGTCTCAAATTACAAATTCAAAAAAACAGGATGAATCAAGAAATTTTGATAGAAGTTTTAAGAAAAAGGTACAAAACAAAATCTAAGAAAGAAAAAGATAAATGAGTACTATATATATATATATATATATAAAATTAAGTCAATAATTAAAAGTTTACAAAGTACCTGTTTGGAGGTGGTTTTGGTTTCGGCATCTTACTAAGAATAGTTGCCATCTCTTTTCTCTCATCAAAATTCTTCCACTGTTCATATAGTTTTAAAATAACCCTGATTATTTCCAAAATCTACAAGAAAATATTTGAAAAGTTCTCAGTGGCAAAAAAAAAAAAAAAAAAGAGCAATATTTAGTACCTATAAAGAACAGACATCATATATGAGGCACCCTTCAAAAATGGTAAAAAGATGAGTCTGTGTCCTTGAGAATTCAGGTTAGATAATCCTAACAAAAAATTTGAGAACAGTATTTTCCACCACACTGTTATTTAGGCTTTATAGCCACTTACCTTTCAACATGTATGCCCTATCCATCCTTATCTCATATCTAGTTGATTTCTGTCCTCTTAAGCCAAAACAAACTAGCAAGGTACAAACAGTAAAGGTTGAAATCATGAAGGTATATACCACTATTGAGTATTCCTTTAATATCAATTTTCTCAAACAATTTAAGGGGAAGTATTACACATAAGACATTGTTTTGATTGTTAACTACTCTACATATCAGTTAAGATGACCTAAAACTGCAACTGTTATTATGTCATATCTAGTTGCCAAGTTTAGCTCTTTTTTCTCTACCCACACAGAGTTAAAGTTGGATTAATTGTAATGCTTTCAACACTTGAGCAGAAAAGGTAGAAAATAGGGCTTTGCCACCAATGTGCTGTTTTACAGAAGTTCCTGGTAGTGTTTAGTGATCACTAGGTAGCTTTTTAKATAATCCTGGAAGTTAGAGGCTACTCTGCAACAAATCGAGCCAAAAGTTTACCATTCTATTTAACCTAAAGCCAGAAAGATAAATATAACTTWAAAAAACTAATATCAACCTTTCATCAAGCATGTATTTCTTAATATTTAATCAACAATCTTCTTAGCCTGGTGAGCATCATAAGGTTTTAAGCTGAAGGTAAGTAAATAAGACATGAATTTKAAAATGTTGAAATTCAAAAAATTTTAAATACCTTTTCCATATCCACAGAAAGCTCAGCAAACCACTGTCTGGCATCTTTTTGCTGCACAACACAGGCAACATGTAGGCAAGCTGAAATGAAAAGACAATTGCTCATGCTTAACTACAAACATGGTCACATAACTAAAGATTTTCACAAATTTCAAATACATATATTTTCTAAAACTGTTTTTAAACTTTACAAAGCTATATTTAATAGTACTAACTATCTCATCAATTTAATTTGATATAGACAGAAAAATTTACTAAACTACACTAAGGTTCTTGAYATCTGCTCCTTTCGGTTTACTACTTGGTGCAGATGCTCTGAAAGGGCACGTTAGAGAGGAAAAATCATCTAATGAGATTAAAACAGGAATCTGAACAGCAGTACAATATAGTCACAAAGGTCAGTTTGACAAAAATAATCAACATACTGATGTTTCAACAATGTTGATTATATTTAAATTAAAAGCAACATTGCCTCTACTATTTTTTTATTTTGGCTTTTTAAAGTCTGATCACAAGATAGATATTATTAAACAACTGAGCACACTGGTGCAGAATTCACTGCTGTAATCAAATAGGGATTAGAAAAAAATGTGACACATCATATACAATTATATACATTACAYAAAATTAAAACTAACAAAGATAGTAAAAGAGCTCAAAGACAATGACCTATGTCACAGTTTTGACTGAAACAATTTCTACTGCACAGATTATCTATCCTGATCCCACCCCAGCTTGTTAAAAGTTATATTCCCTGTTCAGGTTACCGTTTGACTTTGCTAAGAATGACATTCTGGGTAAACAGCCACTCAAGCAGATGGTCAAGTAGCTCAGTGGTAAGAGCGCATATAGACCATTTGTGAGCCTTGGATTCCATACCCAATACCACAAAAAGAACAAAAAAACAGCCATTCAAATGTGAACTGATATATTAGTTGTTCCAAGTCAAATGATGCTAGAGTAGGGCTTACGTCCAAAAGGAATTGAGAAATCAAAGGACTAAAATAATAATAAAAACAGTTACTTAAAAGAGTAGGAAATGCCATGAGAGGGGAGCATGTAAATCAGAGATAGAGAAGGCACCATACACCCAGACTGAGGCAATATTGAGAGAGTGGGGAGGTGCGGTGTCACTACAAAGGTGATATCTGAGCCAATCTCAGAGTAAAGGGAGATAATGGCTTATCCATAAGTGATAGAGATGCTTACAGATTTTATTCAGCAACTGGGAGAGATTCTACATTTTAAAAAGCTTATTCTAGCTCAGGGTTTCTCAACCTTGGAACTACTGTCGTTTGGGTTGGATTATTCTTTGAAACTGTCTTGTGCACTCTAGGACGCTAAGCACCACCTCTGGCTTCTACTCACTAGATGACAGTAGTATCCCACCTTGGTATGACAATAAAACCATCTCCAGACATTGATGAATCCTATGGGAGGCAAAATTATTCCCCATTGAGAACCATCAGTGTAGTTCAACAGAATGGAGAATAGATTGGCTCTCTGATCTCTGAGCACAAGAATGCTGGAGACCARTCAGGAAACTGCTGTGGTAAACTAGTTGAAAATGAGAAAATGGTTATAATATTACATAAGGGACAGATAATTGAAAGGAAGGCATGAAAGGTACTGATAACCTGCTGGATGTAGCTACTGAGGGAAATGAAAGAACCTAACTGCTGGGTTTCCAACAAAGGCAAATACCTATTGCTATTTACCAAGCTAGCAAAAACATTAAATGGAAGAGGATATCTGAGAACAAAGCAATGAGCTCCTGATCATGAGTCTGAAGTGCCAGTTAGATGTCAAGTGGAGTTATGTATATGAYTGATGGATATAAAGAACTGCTCAGGAGCAAGAGCTCAAATAAAGAAATTGAAATGTTTCAGCATATAAAAGACTACAGAAGCCCTGGGCCTCAGCCAGCAAGTACAAAGATCACAGGTTTGGCAAAGACATGGCATGTGTCCTGTTATCCCTTCCTTCCTAATCTATATATCCCAGCACTTCTTCCCACTGACTGGATACAATTTCAGAATCCTGCCTCCCCAGTTCAGTACTGAATAAGAGCCATCAGTGATACAAAAGAATAAATATAACCTGTCATCCCTGATAAAAGGTGACTTTTAACATCAATATTTAAGGAATACTTGAAAAAAAGAGAAAACAGTAAAAATAATTCCGGAATGATAAAAGAATGGTGTGAGGGGGGAGGGGTTAAGAGGATAGAGTCATAGAAATCAATAGAAGGACAAAAAGGAACAASTACCTGGATATAGCAGGCATTATTTGGTGCTCTATAAGCTATTAGATTTAACTCTTAAATGACTGAAGTTTTTAGCACTCTGAAGTTTTTACTCTCCTTTTTATAATTAAGGAAATAAACTCAGAAAGTTAAACAATTTCCCCTCAATTATAAAGGAAGCAAAGTTTAAACCTAGGACTACCTAACTCAAAAGACTGTGTTCTAATCCATTACTGCACTCTCTTCCATGGATAATGAAATGGTAGCTAACTTCTCCATCTACCAAGACAGCTAGATGCTCCTTTGTTTAACTCTGAGTACTTAACTGGGCTCAGGAAATGAAAATCTGGTATAGTTATTTTATAAGACTTACAACTAATATTAGCAGGCTTAATTCTGAACTTTTCCCACCAAACAAAAGTACTCATAGACACCGATTAAAATTGTTTTAAATGATTTGTTAAAAACTCACCAAAAAAAGGGGTGGGGGTGGGAGGACTATAACCCTGATTTGTGACAGTTACAGTTCATATTATTGAAAGTTCACATGCAAAGATTAGTCTATTACTTCATGGAAACTTAAAAACCTAAAGTACAATAGGGTGAAATTTATTTTAGGATGACCTAAATAGATTTATAACAATTTAATTAATAAGGGCACACCATGCTTACATACCTAAAGCTATCATGAAAGGAGGATACAGTAGGCAAAGATCCGTTCTGTAGGTATCATTCACAATCCTCCTATAGAAATATAAATCATATTATTACTGAAAGTAGAATTATTTCATCTGATTGTACATTTCCACCCAGAGAGGCACAGATTTCCCATCTTTGTACACACATATTTCCCTTTTCTATTACTGAACACAGCTAGTAAGMTAAAACATTTAAGCAAAAAGATTGACTCAAGAGTGTGACAATGAAGTATGTATTAGTACATTTAATATGTGAATAAAACATATTTTGAACTTTGAGCCCTCCAATAAATTATAAACATGTTCTAATTTTTAAAAAATCAGAAATAAACACTACCAAAAAGTATACTGATTATTTTAAAGATAAATTCATTCTTAAATTTTATGTTAAAAACATAAAATCAAATTTTAACTAGTTAATAAACAGTAAATTTAAGATGCTTATCATTTTAGCACATCATTTTAATCACCATCATAGTTATTAATAAGTTCAACAAGCAGATATTTTGCTTAACATAAAATACCTTGGGACACTAGTTTAATGTCTTCAAAAATATCAAATTTCATATTTAGTTGRCAATCTTCCTATCTAATAACATGTTACACTATTAATAACTTCTGTTCTAATTACCATGCAAGGGGAAGCAACATGTCTTCTTGGCCCATGTCCTGCACATACTGGAGCAAAGGTCTATAAGGATGATACACTATCAAGCAACAATCCTAGAAACAGTTTAAAAAATGTGTATGTATAAAAACAGATTACAACACAAAAACTTTATCATTACCCAACTAATTTTTAATAGTGTATTTCAAAGTGAATTTCTGTAACTCATGCTTGCTTCTCTTTTGTTCTCTTAGCAAGCAGTATAGCAGCCCTAAACTCTACTACAATATGAAGGCAGTGCTCTCTCTGGAATATACCTTGGTATATCGGTTGGCAGTCAGTCAGCATCCATTCATTCCCTTAGAGACTCAAAGTGTCACATCTGCAACACACTGAAACCTCTTATTAGCCTATAAATCCATGATTCCCAATTGGAGGAGAATTCTGCCGAAGACATAATCTATCTTTTAAATTATACCACACACATACACAAGTTGTGCACATAATTTACAGTGGTTTAATGTCCTGACTTGTTTGCTTATAATCCTTTTGTTATAGTTACTATAGAATAACTTTTCCATCCAGACTAGGATATACAAATTATTTTACAGGCTTCAGAGAGAAAATAGGTAATGTTACTAGGTTACTATGATTTCAAAATCACAAATCACTTAGATGACTTTAAAATGTACCTGCCTATAAATAATTTCTGTAAGTAATTTCACTTCATTAAGCTTGAAAATAACTGTTCCTCTATTAAACACAGGAAAAAACATACTTACCATTAGTTCTAAAAGATAGAATTCACATTCTAATATCTGTTTTAAAAAAAGTCAACAAGAAACCTAATTACATAMGTCTGCTTAGTTTATAGTAATTTGTCACACATTTTTACAAAACAGAAAATAAACACAGCTTATATTAGAATATATATAATTAAATTACTTTTTACTATTGCATAATTCATGCAACTATAATTACAAAGCAGTTAAATCCTTATAAGGAAAAGCCAGCCTCTTGTAAGCATTTTGTTTGTYTGGTTTTGGTGCTATAGATTGAACCCAGGGTGTCACACCGCTAATAAGCAAACATTCTATCATTGAGCTGTATCCCTAGCTCACTTCTATTAAAATATCCTTTCTATTCAATAAATGYAAAATGAAATTATCTCCATTTAATTAAAAAAAATACCAAGTAGAATGAACAATTCCCTTTCAAGGTGGAAAATGGCAGACATGCTTATTAAAATGGCAAATATTAACCTTTTAAAAATATAACTTATCAAATATAATTTAATACTGATCCATTATAGTAGTTATCAACCCCAGATGCACATTAGTATCACTCACCTGGAAGTTTTTAAAAAATACTAATACCAGGAACTCTAAGCCTGAAAATTCTGATTTAGTCAGTCTGGAGAGGACCCAACATCGGTATTAAAAGGTTCCCAAGGTAATCCAATGGGCAGAGATGGTTGATAACCACTTCTATGAAATGTTTTTAAAAAGATCAACTATTGATCTTTAATTTAAAATAATGTCTATATTCTTGTGGAATATTATATTTGAAACTGATATTTCTAAAAGGCTAGTAAGTTCAGCTTGTTTATATACAGTTTAACAAATGATTACTTTGTATAATATACTTACATGGTTCATCCTATAAGGAAATTCCTTTGGAAAGGCATATGAAAATCTAGTTTTTACTGCAAAATACAAAGAGAAAAACAGTTTAAATGGAGCAAATGTCAAAGTTAATTAAACCAACATTATTTTAATTGTGTTAAAAGAGTATAGAATTTTAGAGAGTAGGGCTAAATAATTATCAATAAGCACTCTAGGCAATGCTTAAGGACCTAGATTTTTGTTATCAAGGGAGGGGAAAGACTGAGTATCTTTGGGAAGCCCTAAGCCCTCATTTATACTTCTATTACTACAATCAGAGAGCTTTGATTTTAAATTAACATACCAAGAAATGGTTCTGCTGTTCAAAAAAATAAAAGATTGAGAAAAACAATCACTGGCTTTTGTCATTTCTAAAGTCTTGCTAGTTCTAGAATGGTACTGTTGTGTTCTCCAGTGATTTGGCTTAGAGGGAACACAGGGGTTACAAATATGAAGAAAGGGAGAGAAAGAGAAAAGGAAGGGAGGGAGGGAGGGAGGGAGAAGAAAAAGAAAAGGAAAAAGGAAGGGAAAGGGGATAGAAAGTTGTAAATATATTTCACCAAAAACCTATCGGCAATGTTCATCTCTGAGACTTAAGGATTTTTCTTTTTACTCATCTGTACCTTCTGAACTTTTCAAAATAACTAAGGATTTATCAACTAAAAATTGTTACTAAAAAGTCACTAAAAATGCACATGAAAAAACATTGTTAACCACTGATCCCCTATCTCCTCAAAATGGTGTGAGCTGTACACATTTATGTACTATTTGTGAAAAATTGTATTCAAGTCATTATAATGCAACATATTATTCCATCAAGAATCTATTGATAGGGCTGGGGTTGGGGCTCAGCAGTAAAACGCTTGCCTAGCATGCGTGAGGCCCTGGATTTTACCATTAGCACCAACCACATACAAATAAAATAAGGGTACTRTGTCCACCTACAATGAAAAAAATATATATATTACAAAAAGAATCTATTGATAGGTTCTAGAATGTTTTGTACAAGTGACCTCACTGAGATTAAAAGGAAATCTACTTATTTTATGTACAATATTTCCAAAAAGATGGCCTCATTGAAATTAAAAGGAAATACTTATTTTATGTACTATATTTACAGAAAGATTTGTTTTGTAAATTAAGTATCCTACAGTTAATTTAGATAGGTAATATCTACCAAAGCATAAAACCTAGAACCATTTAAAATTGACATTAGGAAAATTATATCTTCCCTTTTCCTTTAATTAATTCTAAAAATGAATAATGTTTCTGAGTTTTATAACACCTTCCCTCTACCCCTTTTTGCAAGTACTAGGAATTGAACCCAAGGACAGTCTACCACTGAGCATCCCCAGTCCTTTTCCCCCTGGGATTTTTTATTTTGAGACAGGATTTCACTATATTGCTGAGGCAGGCCTCAAATTGTGATCCTCCTGCCTCAGCCTCTCAAGTTGCTGRGATTATAGGTAGGCACCACTCTGCCTGGCCTGATTTTYTAGCTTCTAATCCTATTCTTCCAATGAATAGAAAAATGAATCCTTCCTCTATTTTATTATCCCTATCATTTGTACATGTTTTATTCATTGATTTGTTCATTGTTCATTCAATTGATCATTCCTACTATTTTACTCCCATCTTTAACCTTTCCTATTTCAGTAAATCTGTCTCATCACTTGATAATATGCTCAAGTTTCCCTAAAAAGAAAACAAACTCTATCTAATTAAATTCCTCTACCTTTTTTTTTTTTTTTTTAAAGAAAGGTTTTACGTATACAGAAAAAGAAATAGTGATTACATGGTACAGAGTTCCCTGTTATGGACTGAATGTCTGTGACCCCTACCCCTGCAAATTCGTATGTTGAAACCTTAATTCCCAGTGTGATGATATTTCAAAGTAAGGCCTTTGGGAAGTAATCAAGTTTATATGTAGGCAGCATAATAGGATTGGTGTTCTTATTTAAAAAAAAAAGGTATCTATAACATGGAATCATGACCATTCAAAGAATTGATCAAGGTTAGCACCATGATCTTGAACTACTAAGACTTGAGAATTTTGAGAAATGTGTTATTAAAGCCATGCAGTCTATGGAATTTTCTAAGCTAAGCAGACTATGATGCCCTGTGGACCAGTTGACCCTAATATTAACACCTTACATCAGTATAGTTCACTTATTTTATAATTAATGACTCAACAACAACACATTAGTATTAATTAAATTCCACAGCTTATTCAGATCTTAGTTTTCACTTAATGTCTTTTTCTGTTCCAGGAACTCATCCAAGATATGTCCATTAATTTTAGTCATCATGTCTYGTTAGACTCAGTTTAATTACAAGACTTTTCCAAACTTTCCTTGTTTTTGATGACTTTGATGGTTTTTAGGAGTACTAGTGAAATATTTAGAAGATCACCCTCTATTTGAATGTGTCTAATGTTTTCCTCATGATGAGGTTAAGGATTTCTTTTGAAAAAAAAAAATTATTTTTTTAGTTGTAGTTGGACACAATACCTTTATTTATTTATTTTTATGTGGTGCTGAGGATCGAACCCAGGGCCTCGCACGTGCTAGGYGAGCGCTCTACCGCTGAGCCACAACCCCAGCACAGGTTATGGATTTCTGAAAGAAGACCACAGAAGTACTATTTTCATCACAACACATCAATGGTCCATACCATTAGTGTACTTTATTACTGTTGCTACCATCTTGAGCATGTGGCTGGTATTTTGTCAGATTTCTGCACTATAAAGTTACTTCTTTTCTCAATTTCCATAATACATTATGTTTCCCTTACTTGAGAAAGAAGTGGCTACTTAAATTATTTTAATTTTTCTGAAGGGAATATTTGTCTCTTCCCTCTATTTGATTTATTCAGATTTCTATTTATATCAGTATAAACTCTCCTAGAACCTTGGTCCCTTTTACTGGAAAATGGTTATTAGAAATCAAGATGTGGGTATTAACTGAGCTTACTGCTACTGGGATTTCATTGCATGTAGACCATTTCAACTGATAGAGCCAAGAAATACACCTATTAATCCGTGTATATACATTTATCTATAAATATTTATACATGTAACTATTTGTGTCTATATCAAGGTAAACATTATTTCATACTCATGTTTCCATTTCTGATCTTTACCACATGGACCATTCTGGTCTTCTCCTCTTAYGTATCTGCAAATTCTCACTCGGATAGTGAGAAATCTGGCTCTCAACATGTCATACATTTTCAATTCTAGTATGCATGCATAACACTATCAGAATAGGTAACTTCTATGTCTGAGTTACAATTTTATCAGCTAAAATACAATGTGTATGTGCAGATCCTACTGCATTCAGTCTTATAGAATCTATTCATTTCCACAGTAGTTTAGATAAGCATCCACTCTTCACTAAGGTTATTTTGTTTCATATAAAATACAGTAAGATTTTCCTTCTCAGAACCTACAAAATTCTTAATTCCTTGCAATTACCTCCATCTCTAGTGTCTGATAACACTCCCAAAGATATGACTTTCTTTGATTCACAGCTTTCTCTGTACAGCACAAGCCACTATACAAGTCTTTTTCTTAAAATGTGTCAAGTTCTAAATTTCTTCCACTGTTCTTACATTTTAAGAGGATGTTTTACTAATACATTTACATTTAGAATATCCAATGTCAATTTAATTCTTTTCAGAAGTATCTATTTCAGTGGCATTAAATATATTCATATTGTTATATAACCATACCACCATGCATCTCCAGAATTCTTCATTTTGTAAAACTGAAACACTGTGCCCATTAAACAATAATTCCTTATTCTCCACTCTCTCTGGACAGTAGAAACTACCATTCTACTTTTAATCTTTATTATTTTTAATATTCCAAGCCTAATAGAAGTGGGATCAGAGTATTCGTCTTTTTGTGATTGATATTTGWCACTTATCATATCTTCAAGGTTCATTCATGTTATAATGCAAACAACTTTAAATTTTGTCTGTCTCATTCTACCCACCTTCATCTTAACTAATTCTGTACGATTTTCCCAATGCACAATTCTGGCATCACATTTAAGTTTAAAAATAAATAAAGCTTTTAAAGATACAACAAATGTCAGGTGTGATGCCATTGGGATTACACACACCTGTAATCTGAGGCAGAAGGCTGAGGCAGGAGGATTGCAAGTTCAAAGCCAACCTCAGGGGACTGGGGTTGTGCCTCAGTGGTAGAGTGCTCACCTAGTATGCACAAGGCACTGGGTTCAATCCTCAGCGCCACATAAATATAAAGATACTGTGTCCATATAAAACTTCAAGAATAAATATTTTTTTAAAAAGCCAACCTCAGCAATTTAATGAGCCCTAAGCACCTTGGCAAGATCATATTTCAAAATAAAAAATAAAGGGGCTGGGTATGTTGCTCAGTGGTTAAGCTTCCCTGGGTTTAATCCCTGATATGGAAGAAAAACAACAACTATCATCAAAACAAAGTGTAGATCCCTTCCTCTATCACTGAAGGTCCTTAACTGATACTAACCAGGTAAGGATTTCCCCCCACTATTTCCTTACTCACCATTTACTGAATGTAACTTGCTAGCAATTTCTATTTTTGAGGAAACTATGCACTGTTCCTAGACTGCTTTTCTCCTACATTTCTGCAGGTTCAAATCCTTTCTTTCTTCTTTAAATTATATTATTTAGATTCATTCCTCTAACACTCAAAACACAGTATTCTCTGTTAACTCCCCTATAACTCCCTTATTTATACCACTTGTATTCTTCTGTATTAATACTTTTACATGCACRCCTTTTTATCTTGTCCTTAAATTCCTTGTATTTATTTTGATACCCACCATTGCACCTGGAAATGTTTCCAGAGATAATGATGCTGTTATTGATGATGACAACTGCTAGTAAAGTTTCTAAGTGTTATAAACTCTGTCCCTCCAAAATTTTTATGTTGAAGCCTAACCCCCAGTACTCAGAATGGGATTACATTTGGAAAAAAGATCTTTTAAAGAGGTGATTAAGGTTAAATGAGGTCATAAGAGTGGGGCTTGTCCCTATATGATGAGGAAGTCACGACTGGGGTGTTTGTGCCCAGAGAAAGGGCCATGTAAGAATAGCCAGAAGGTGACTATCTGTAAACCAAGCCAAGTGATTTCAGGAGAAACCAAACCTGTTGGCACCTTAATTTTGGACTTCCAGCCTTCGGAACCATGAAAAAATTAATTTTCGCTGTTTGAGCCACTGAGTGTGGTATTTTGTTAGGGTAACCACAGCAAAATAATACAATTAAGGCATTGTTCCAAGTTTTATAGATATTAATTCATTTGAGACTCAYAACAACCTATAACAAAGATAATATCTTCACATTGCAGATGAAGAAAAAGACTTTGGAGGATTTATCACAGACCAAAGGTAAAAATCTGAAACCCAAGTGGTCTGGGCTTGTGTAATAATACACTATAAAACTTGTGAAATAGTCTACTATAGGATTTACCTATTCATTGATAACCAAACTTTTTATGAATATATTTTCAAGCCTTTCTATGAAAAACAAGTTTCCAAAAAAGCAATGCAATACTTCATCAATGACATATATGGTATATTAAACTTTTTTGCAAAACTAATTACTAATCTTTTACCCTTAAGAATAAAGATATCTCTTCCCTTTTGCAGCCATCGCTTAAGTGGCAGCAGCCAAAATGAAGTTCAATCCTATTGTGACTTCTGACAGAATCAAGAACCATAAAAGGCATTTCAATGCACCTTCCCACATTCACAGGAAGATTACGTCCTCCCCTCTTTCCAAAGACCTGAGACAAAAGTACAATGTTTGATCTACGTCCATCTGAAAGGAGACGAAGTTTAGGTTGTGCAGGGATGCTATAAAAGTTAGCAGATTGGCAAAGTAGTCCAAGTTTACAGGAAGAAATATGTGATAAATACTGAATGGGTGCAGTGGGAAAAGGCTAATGGCAAAACTTTCCATATGGACATTCATCCTAGGATCTCACTGAATTGCTTAGGGCYTCATTAAATTGCTGAGGCTGGCTTTGAACTTGTGATCTTCCTGCATCAGCCTTCCAAGCCACTGGGATTATATGTGTGTGCCACATCACCTAGCCTTGTACCATGTTTTGTGATTTGGAGGCCTGAAAAGATGTAATTCCCAGCAAACATACACATTACAGTTGTTAAAGGAATAGTTTATTCTATCCACAAGAATGAAATAATGGCCAATCCTTAGGAAACCCTAAAATACAATAAATTAGGAAATTTTTTTTTTCTTTAATCTTTTTATAAAAGATCCAATGAGTTGATATTTATGGATTAATAATTACTATTTTTTTTTTTTTTTGTACCAGGGATTGAATCCAGGGGCACTTAACCACTGAGCCATATCCCCAGTCCTTTTTTTGTATTTTATTTAGAGACAGGGTCTCACTGAGTTGCTTAGGACCTTGCTAAGTTGCTGAGGCTGGCTTTGAATTTGCAATCCTCCTCCTGACTCAGCCTCCCAAGTGGCTGGGATTATAGGCGTGCACCACTGTGCCCAGTTTACTATTCATTTTTAACATTAAAGAAATGTCCTAGAAATATTAATGTAAGCAAAAACATCTTTTTAAATTTTATTTTTTGACAAATATGTGAGTCATAAAGGCATACTCAGGAGATGTTAATAAACCCAACTCATCTTTCATATATTTTATAAACTAAAAATCTATATACTATGGAGAGTTTGTTTTTTTTTTTTTTTTTTTTTTTTTAGAATTACATCCTTAAAGCAGATTATACTTTTTCACTTACATACAGAAGTAGCAGCAGCAATCAATCTTGTATTTGAGACTACTCCAAATTCCTAGAGAAAGAAAAGTAGATGAGATCAGGTACATATTAACCCAGTAGACCTAAGCAAACCTGAGGTGTATTTAAAACAGTATTTCCAAGCTGTCCCCATGTTATAGTCTGTCCATCTTATACCTACTTGAGGTGCAAAGTATTTTAAATTTCTAAATATATTAACTTTCCTTGAGATCATCACAATTCAAGACAAATTTTTAAATAATTTTATATTTAATCTCAGTAAACATACCAAATAAGAAACCAAGCCCCAAAGTGACAATGCCACTTTTTTTTGCACTTAGGTTTGTTTCCAGGACAACTTTTAGATTCTATACTTAACTGTAAGAATAAATATTAAGTATGCTTTCTATTCAATTGTACCTGCTAACGTACAGAAAGGTCATGCCATTTAGTAATAAATGTCAATTCTCTTAGGCTGGGGTTGTGGCTCAACGGTAGAACACTTGCTTGCCTAGCATGTGTGAGGCACTGGGTTAGATTCTCAGCACCACATAATTAACTAACTAACTAACTAACTAATTAATTAATTATCTTAAAAAAATCAAATTTCTTAAGTAAGATAAACTTGAATATCACTGCCCCCCCGCCCCAGCAAAAAAAACCCCAAAATACCAAACAAGCACCTATCATCCTTTTTGGAATAGAAAAACAAGAATGATATAGTATAAGACTTCCAAGATTAGTTCCCATTTCCTCTTTYAACCTAACATACCACCACCATAAAAACAACTAAAATTTATCAGATGATCTATTTTACATCCATTCTCCCATTTAATTTCAAATAAAACTTACAAGATTCTAAAGCCTTCACTTCATCTTAACACCAAAAAAGTCAAGAATTGGCTTCATATCCAACAAAAGAAACTAAAAACTGTTCAAATTATCTTCAACTCGCATCCTTAGCGTGTATAGGGGGAAATATATGTGTGTCTATTTTTGTATTTACATTTAAACTTCAATCCTGGTAAGTGAAAATAAAAAAATTTTAGAGTCTAAAACATCCTCTTAAACACCACTTGTATACAACTGCCATACAACTGGGCAAAATACAGAAWGATTTAATCGTAGTAAAGAGTGAAAAAATGCTGCAACCATATTTGAAAAGATACATTTCCCCCTGTACCACCTACAGGAATAACTAATTTTCTAAAATTCTTAAAGCACAAACTTTTACTCAGTAAGTCATATAACAGACTTCTGCTCAGTAAATCAAATAACAAAAATTGTTGTTTTTACTTTTGTTTTGTGGTACTGGGGGGATTGAACCCAGGACCTTCCACATGCTACAACTAGGTGCTCTACCACTGAGCTACCCCCACAACCAAGTAACAAAAAAGATATTTAACAAATTAAAACCCCAAAATTAATCTACAAGAGTGGAAGTTTATACAGATTTTTATYTTAGCACCCCAGAATGGTTGTGTTTAAGATATATAAAATTAAATATTAGATGGTCATTTCTAAACAAAGTCAAATATTACATAATAATATTTGGGAAAATTACCCAATAATAAAAGGCTTTTTATAAACTTTCTTTTCCATTGAACAACTCAAAAACAAAGTTGATTCTGACACTTGAAAATATCTTTCACAATCAAAAAACCTTATACCTTAAAATGCTTTTGTTAATATTATTTCTAATACCGTTAAGCCTCCACATCCCCAGCCCTTTTTATTTTGAGATAGGCTCCCACTAAGTTGCCAAGGCTGCCTCAAACTTGTGATCCTCCTGCCTCAGCCTTGCGAATTGCTGGGATTACAGGCATGCACCACCTCACCCATCCAATGAGAATTTAGGTAATAGTTGAGAAAGAGAGCATGGATAATCTTAAATAATGGCTAAAACAAAACTCAATCATAATGGGTACAAAAGGAATGCAAACTTACTAGGTTAAAATCACAGTTCTCAAGAACATAATTCCTATTCTAAAAAGCCAGTCAAAAATAGAAATATAATTCAAAAGTTTTGTAATACTAAAGATTACACAGGGCTAGGGTTGTGGCTCAGTGGTAGAGCACTCGCCTGGTATATATGAGACACTCAGCACCATATAAAAAGGTTCGATCCTCAGCACCATATAAAAATGAAATAAAGATATTATATTCACCTACAACTAAAAAATAAATATTTTTAAAAAAGGATGACATGGATTAKTTATGAAAAACAAGCAGTTTTTGTAAAACCTGCTGCAGTTGCCTGAACTATAGCTTGAAAGCTGAGCTCAAAAATACGTAAAAGTGGGACTGGGGCTACTTTTTAATTCTTGTCTAGCATGTGGAAGCCCTGGATTCAATCTCCAGCCACTACCATGCCCTCACCTACAAGTTCCTATCTTTCTTCTCTCACCTAATTTTTCTACCCTCATTATTCAAACTTTTACTTGTTAGAATCTATACAGCTGTAACATCTCCTAATTCTTGCTTTCCCTTTTGCTTTCTCTATGGCTTGACAGGAAGCCAAACATCAGAAGGCAGAGAAGGAAGATAGTAAGAAGCATATGGGTAAGGAGAAGAGACATTCTCAGGTTATAGTAGACAAGCTATGGCACTTGTCTCTATGACTCAGTCCCCTCTTTGATAAAATGCAGACACTATTACTATATATTCTACAGTTTGTTATGAAGATTAAGTCAGAATTTGTAAAAAAAAAAAAAAGAAAAAAAAAAAACAACTTACAGAGCCCTTAAAATATAAGAAGTGCTATATAAGAGTTAAGTAAATACATAAAATAAAGATAAGATTTGCATACATTTCGATTTTGTACAAAATATTTTGCATAAATTACCATCTATTATCATCCTTACATAGGCAATGTAAAAACTGGGGAAGATTAACCAATATACTTGAATAACACTTTGACAGAGAACAGAAATTGTTTTATACCTCTACTTTGGATGCCAAAAAGACACATGTCGGAGCCATCAACACAGGATCTATACTTTTCAGAGAATACCTAAAATATGATAAAAAAAAAGTTAAGTATTACCCACTTAGAAAACACAGGGGGTGGGGGGAATCACAATTTAACTCTATTGCAAACAACTGATTCATTTATACTGAAGCTCCTCAACATTAGACAGGAGTTACAAATAGATATAACATATTCTTAAAATAAAACAGTCTTACCTGGCATAGAATCTCTTGAAATAGACTGTAGCAGTGGCAATAACTTGCTGTCTTAATTTAAGATGTTCACCTAATGCCTGAATAACTAAAAATAATAAAAGAGTTTTAAATGTACCATCTGCCCTTATTTGTAATAATATTAACCTTAAACAGTAACTTCCACGTGTTTAAATCACAACTACACTCACTTTTAACAAAAGAAAAATTTATACACGTTAATTTGTTTAAAAAAATAGAGCATTATGCATAAACTAAAAAGAGAAATTGTCCCATTGCAAAAGTTGGTCTTGCAGTAAAGAAGCCAAATGGCTGACAATCCTCCTCTTAATTCTAAATATTTTTGATGCTTTTCACATTCACATTATGATAAATATGAAAAAATAAGTTACCTATCAAACTCATTATTACTACCATTTTATATACTTTACCAAAAAAAAATCCACAATGAATCCTCAAAACAACGGAGGATTAGAAAGAATATGTGATAAAAAATATACCAAGACATACTACAGGTCTTCTGAGTAAATCCTCTTTCCTTCAAAGCAAAGTTCTAAGGTAAAAATGACAAATACAGGATGCCAATTCCAAGAATCATTTATCCTCAAAGTACTTTGCTTTAGCCAACCTTAAAGTGGGTTGCTTTATAAAAGCTTGGGGAGATTAYTAACACTTTCAAATTGTCCAGTGTCTCTGACGTTCACAAAAACTTTATTCAGATCAATAAAAAGATAAATGAGTAAGTTGTAAGAATACATATATAAATAAAAATGTTTAAGTACAGATTATGACAGTTCATCATAAATTATCATACAAAAACATTCTTATTCAAAGGTAACTAATATTTCAACCAATTTAAAAAATTTTTACCATTTGTAAAAAAAATCTGTAGTTTCCAATATTCTTCTTCTGAGAGAAATTTTAAGTCCTTTTGGCGCTCCTTCAACAGATCTTGTTTATCCAAAATCCATTGCAAACTAGAAGGAATACAGATATTAAAACATGCTGTAGAAAATAAACAAAGTCACAGAAAATCATAGTCATTTTAAGACTAAAGAGGCTACTCATATTCTGAGAAGTACAAAGTGCAAGAAGTAATCCTAAAAGACAATTTCCTGAAATGCAAACTAGTAAAAATTATCTCAAAAACATAAATATGCCCTGAAAAATATTCTGCTCTCATCTTTTCCCTCATCCTCCTCAATCTTTCTATCACTAGTTTATATTCTATTTCATTGGTTCTAAAATTGATATCAAGATGAATCTTACAATCAGTGATGTCTTTTAATTGGTAGCATGTGTACTCACTCTTTCTTGGTAAAACATAAAATAATGGTGCAACTATTTTGCACCAACTGATGGTGCCTTAGATTTGACGAAGTATAGCTTTTCTCAGTTGTTCCTGATTGAAGAAGATATTTAATTTCCCCACTTCACAAATTCCAATCAYGTTAAAAGCTGTTTCATAATTACATTTATAGCCCCCTCTTCTTACCTAGTCAAGCAAACTATTTAACCAGATATGAAACTGACATGAATAAAAACAATATATTCTACAACCTGCTTTTGTCGCTCAGTATATATAGGGAGTCTTTATAAGTCAATGAACTTGTTATTCAGCATCTTTTTAACAGCCTTAAGGAAGGATCAGTATTTATTTAATCCCTATTAACATACATATAAGGAAATCATTTTTCACTATTACAAATAATGGTTCAACTAATATGTATTTTTTTTTTAAAGAGAGAGAGAGAGAGAGAAGAGAGAGAGAATTTTTTTTTAATATTTATTTTTCAGTTTTCGGTGGACACACATCTTTTATTTTACTTTTATGTGGTGCTGAGGATTGAACCCAGCGCCCTGCGCATGACAGGCAAGCGCGTTACTGCTTGAGCCACATCCCCAGCCCTATTTTTTAAAATATTTATTTTTTAGTTGTAGTTGGACACAATACCTATGTTTATTTTTATGTGGTGCTGAGGATCGAACCCAGGGCCCGGCATGTGGTAGGCAAGCACTCTACCGCTGAGCCACAACCCCAGCCCTCAAATAATACCTTTGTAATTCATCTTTGCATATTTGGTTAATAATATATTTGAAATAATTTCCTATAAATAGAGCCAATGGGCCAGGCATGATGGCACACACCTATAATCCAGTGGCTCAAGAGACTGAGGCAGGAGGATCTCAAGTTCAAAGCCAGACTCAGCAAAAGCAAGGCACCCTTGCTAGATTTTTCTATCACTGAGATCATGGCTTCATAAAGAAAACTGGAAAGCTTTCCTTCTTTCTTCATTAACTGGAACAAATTCAACAGCAGATGCTCTTGAAAACTGGAAAGAATTTACCCATGAAATAACAATGTGCTTCATAAGGATATCTGTCTGGTAATTTTCTTAATTTGGTTCGGCTTTCAAATTTATTACCACAGCAATAACCCAAAAGTACTCCGAGTTTATTTACTTTTCCCATTCTTAATTTTCTATCATCCCTTTTTCCTTTGATTTGATTAGCAGTGATTTAGCCTTCTTCTCTTTTGGTTCTCCTAAAGAACCAATTCATCATTTTTTTCCTTTTAATACGTTGATTTCAATGTTATTTTATTAAGTCTTTCTGTATTTTTTGGCTTATTTCACAGTTCCTTATAATACAGTATTTTTAAAGGCTATTTATATTCTTTCCCACTTATGCAGGAGTGGAAAATGTTGATTTTCTAAAAAATTGGGCTTTGACTACATCACATATATGTTGATCTCATATTTTTTTAGGTATAATTATTACAGTTAAGTTTTCTCTCTGCTACAATAAGGTAGCCACTGTTGATTTTGTGATTTTTTATTTTTGTTACCTGTTTGTTCATTCAATCAACTAGCAAATCTGATGACCTTTGACTTTCATTGTGTTTTGGTCACAATATGTTTTTCTAATTCAACTTTCTAAAATATACTATGACTTGTGCAATAATTTCAACTCTACAGTCACTGTATTTTTTTAAGATAAATTTCACTAACAAATATTTTAATAGTTTTTCTCACAGTACTTTGCAAAATAAACCTAGAAGACTTATAAGTACTCCCATTTTATCAAAGATCACATGTAAGATTCACAGTTATTTTCACATGCAACTTCGAAAAAACCTAACACTAATGTAAAAATAAGAAAACYTGAAATACAGCATATTTCACACCTGTTTTCCGTTCTCACCATATTCACATAAAACAATGACCTTTGGGGTTTTTTTGTTTTCTTCTGGTGGTTGTTTGCTTTTGTGGTGCTGGGATCAGGACCCAGGGCCTTGTGCATATTAGGCAAGTGCTCTACCACAGCCCTGTTTATTTTTTCCAAAGAACTGTCATATCTTTCCTACTTATTACCTTGGGTAGATCAGGAATTCCATGATTCTCAAAGGATTTGAGTAAAGCCAAGCAGCCCCTTCCTCTGGGTCAATTCAAATTGGGAGGCAAGGATAGTTATTGAAAAGCCCATTTAATTTTATAATTGTGTATTTGAAAAGTGAAAAAAATGGTTTAGAATAATAACAGTAAGTGAAAGCATAACAAAAATGCTCTTAAAAGGGGAGGCAAGATCTTTGTTTAAAAAACTGAAAAACCTCTGACAATCAACAGGTCAATTTCTCAGGTTCTTTCAAAGTTTATCATAATATTTCTTCTCCACTATTTGAACTTTCTATTTCAACTGTCCAAGTAAATATTTCAGAAGTAAAAGCAATACAATATAAAAGTGATATGGCCCATATGAAAGCTTCTATGGCACTTCATATCCCCAGAATGATGTTACAGCAAGAAAGAACACACTTTGGGGAAAACAGATTTAAGTCCACTGTTTCTTTTTTTTCCTCACACAAACATAAAAAATCGGTGAATAACAAAAACCGATCCTACTCAAAATAAAAATTTAAATTAGTTATTAATGCTCTTGGCATTAAAATTATTCACACTAGGATATTTTCTTTATCAAGTTCTGTTCATCTTCCAACTATATGGTGGAAAAGTCTAGTCCAGGTTTAATTAGTCCCATCAAGCACCTTCTTGCCTGCTTAAACAAATATATTTAGAGGTAAATATTTTTACTATCACTCCAACTCGTCCACGGTGACCAACAAACAAAAACCTATACATGAAAAAAGCTAAATGTACACGTAAACAAAAATCAATGGAAAGCCTGCTTTTAAAACAAAATATAAAATAAACGGCAAAGAAATGAATAAATTTTGAGAGGCCTATACCCTGTGAAGGTAAAACTCCATGAAGGCATTACTGTAAAGGCAGCAAACAGTTAGCAAGCAGAAACAAGCCTGACTTCCTCCTCTCCTCGAAATATTAAAACCACTCAAAATAGGTAAGTGACAAAAGAGCCATTTCCCTGAACGCATCCTAGGCAAAAACAAGCCACAACTATGCGGAACCGGCAATATCACAACCGTAAACTGAGTCACACCTCACATATCTGTGCCCACCTCCTCTCACGCTCGGGCCTAGATAATCCAAGAACCCGAAATGAAAACTCCTGAATCTTCTTTCCAGGATATTGAACCCCTTTCTCCATCCTTCCTGCTCAYAGATCCACCACCGCCCCGCGCCCAAGAAACTCGGCATGTGTAGGGAGGAGAGTCGCCTCAAYACCGTGCATTTCACTTCTGGTTCTGCGGCCTCTCGGGGACACCCCGAGGGGCACCCCTCATCGGCGCTTGGGACGTAGGCTGGGTTCCAGGCCCAGGAGAGTCCAAGGCCCCGTCCTCACCACCCACTAACAACCGCCCCGGGCGAGAACATGGAATATCACTTACTAGTGGGAGCTCTGCCAAAAGTTCCCTGCCATGGAACACAGTTTGCCCTGATAAAAAAGCACCAGCCGGCGGAGCGGCTCGCGGAGCGACCATAGACCCAGCCGGTCGGATAACCGCGCTCCTGGATCAGATCAGCTCGGCTCCGCTCCGCCGCTACGACGGCGACAGGAAGAGGACGGCACCCAATTCTCCTCGATGCCGGCCAGCAACACTCAACTGTATAAACCCGTTCCTACCAACAAAAGTTCCGGCGCGGCTAGCAGTAGAGGAGGAAGGAAAGAAGTGTGAGTGCTAACATAGGAGACCGGAACTAGTGATTCTGTGGGCTCGCGGTGGTGGGAAAGCTCTCGCGAGACCTTACGACGGTTCCGGCCAAGAGCCTGCAGGGCCTCGACTTCTCTCCTTTAAAGTGGGTTGTGTGACTGCTGTGCCTTGGAATGAGCGTCCTGGTTTGAGGTCTCGTTATTTCATCGTCCTGACCTCCAAAACAGCATTCTGTTATTGTAATAAAATATAAAATTTTGTGGTTTCACTTCTTTTTCCTGCAATTGGAAAGAAAGAAATGAAGATGATTTTGGATCAAGTGGTGTTAGTGGCGTTCCTGCTAGCACAAAGCTTGGCGTATTCTTAATGGAGTTCTTTCAGAGTGATGAAAGCAGTTTCAGAGCAACAGTGTTTCAGTGCCACAGCAAGTTTTGCACAATATCTAAAACATGAACACATATGCACATGTACAAGACGAAGTAATATGTTTCTGCGTTTTCCATTTCTGTTATCATTGTAATATTGCATTTAAAACATTTTTTTCCAAATGGAAACACCTAAAGTTTGTTCATGGAAGAATTCTAAGGCAGTTTTRTACAATAGTTTTCTCAGGTAGGTGGAAATCAATTAGGATATGGTTAACCAAATGAGATAACCGTTTTCCTAAATGAAATGGAACAGAATTATTAGATATGTCAGAAATAGTAAGAGTGTATTTTAATTTGATTAAATTGTACAAATATTGTGTCAGGATGTGAATGCATTTATTATTAGGTGAATTAGTCTTGATGAGCTAGAATAGGCTGAAGTAAGGCAACAACTCCCCATTCTTATTGCTGGTATTCATAGCTTAACATTAAAGTATTTTACATTTATATCACTCCTATGAATTCCCATAAAGTTGGTTTGCCTTCTTTGATTCCATCTTGATAATCTTTGCTTCCAACTTAAAAATCTTTCTAGAGAGAGCACAGAGGACTTAACTGGTTCTTAATCAGAAGCATTGAAGAAGAAACCACAATCCTTATGACACATTGACCAGAATACACACCTGCCTCCAACTTAATTATCAGGGATGCTGAGAAATGTGGGGGAATATATATTATATTTGTGAACACTGCAGATCATAGTCAAAATGTTTGAAAGACATTATGTTAATGAACTGCAGTCTATGAGCTCTTCTCAGAGGTTTAAGATTTCTCCAACTCTATTTTTTGGGTTTTTTTTTTTTTTTTTTTTTGGTTTTTGTTTTTTTTTTTTGGCATCATCCAGAAGATGAGGATTCTGTGAGAAATTACTAGTGTTTATGTGTACAATTAAAATTTTTTTCTGTCATTGTACTTAATTCTGTTTT